GTATTACTAAATATGTGTACTCTTTTTCCTTCACTAGAATTTTTTCCCACGTGATTTTTCCTAGTGAGGTTTTAATGAGACACATTATCTTTTAATGAGCATCCAAGGGAGAGTGTTATAAATATATTATATTATGGATGTTTATTTAGTACTCCGTTGTAAATAAGCTTCTTGAAGAAGCTTATCCATATGGGACTCCACCGTAAATATATTTATCTATTTAGTACTATATTGGAAATAAGCTTCCTGAAGAAGCTTATCACTTCGGTACCCGGTTATGGATAAACATTACCCCCAGTAGAAGTTTATCCATACCGGGTATAATAAGCTTATCTTTTCAGTACCCAGTTATGGATAAACATTACCCCCGGTAGAAGATTATCCATACCGGGTATAATAAGCTTATCCATTCAGTACTCCGTTATGGATAAATATTGCTCTCAGTAGAAGATTATCCATATCTGGTACAACAGCAGCTTACACAACAGCTTGTAGTAGCAGCTTACACAACAGCTTATAGTAGCTTACACTGCAGCTTGTAGTAGCAGCTTACACAACAGCTTGTAGTAGCAGCTTACAGAGCAGCTTCCTTTCTTCTATAAATAGAAGAGATTTCAGTTCATTATGCATTAGTTTGAGTTCGAATAATATATCAGTTTCTCTATATACTTGTCTTTACTTTACAGTCTTTGTTTTATAACATTTTTATATTATTGATCAGGTCATCTTTATTTTTATAGCAAGTAATTTTTTTATTTTTAAGATTATAAATTTGACAGAGCAAGTAAAAATTTCTTTTATATATATATATATATATATATATATAACCTAAGCTCATATCTCTTTAGTATGAGTTCTTTTACGTCATTGAAGTTACATTGTCAATCTTTTCGTGTATTGATATTTTTACTCTGTAGAACTTTACAAATTTGAATGTTTTTTCTTAACATAATAAGTAGGAGGTTATACGTGTATAATTCGAGTACATGGTTTAATCACAAAAACTAAATTAAATACAAACATCATGTGTCATACAATTAGTCGCTTAATTCTAACTAGAGCTAACTATTGAGGTGATATGGAATAATATGGATGGAGGTTTGTATTTCTAATGCTACTAATTTCAGGAACTCAATATAATATTGTTGAGATATACGTATGCTTGACGTAGTGCTTACATGGAGAAAATCGTTGTTGGCTTAAGACAACAACGTATCATTAATATTCGGATCGTACGAGTAGAAGGTAAATATAGACATCTTATGTGGCGAATGGCTGATTAGTTGTCGTGTGAGGTTTGTAGATGCTCTATTCCTTCTACTATATGTACATAGTTGACTATGAAGGTATATATAGTGTGTACACATTCCAATTCCATGCATATTTGATAACTTATAGACTTCTGCTGTTTAAGATTTAATTTCTTTGACCTTCCATTTGGATTTGACCAGTCAGCTAAAAAAATGAAAATCCCATATGTTTAAATATATTATTTTGTTATGCATTCTTGTCTTGAGAATGGGTGAATAGCTAGTCAAAATGGAAGTGGTGGTATGTGAATTTGCTTCTTCAAAATAGAAGTGATAATTGAAAATATTTCTAATATCTTTCATGTAACTAAAATATAATAATTGAGAGGTGCTTCAAAAAATTTCAAGCACAAAAATGTTGGATTAGGTAAGTAAGAAAAATGGTGCACTACAATTTAAAAGAGAAGTAGAAAATTTATAAGATGGCATTGGATATACTAATATGTCAAGAGTCATGTCTACGTCTATTCAAAAGCAATAATTGATTGGAGTCCAATAATGACTTATGAGTTGCATCTTCATTAGCCATCATTGTTTTTGTCGACTTCTGAATTGTTGTGTTGTCGGAAGTGACTTTTCGTCTATGCAACAGAAACTAAATATGGGGCTTAATTCTGGATTACTGTCACCACATCTTGTCCATTTTTTAGTCTTCTATGAGTTGGTAATGCCAATTTTCCAGGTTTAATTTTATAAGTAATAGTAGTAAAGTACAGCCTTTTGTCATTATATCTGATATGCAAATTACTGAAATAGCACTATGGATGCAATGTGATAATTAATCAAAGCTAACATCAATCTTGAGAAATTATCCTTTTATTTATTTTTAAATGATAAAATCCTTACCATATGGAAGGTTAGATGGGCACTGAGTATATTAATGACAAAACAACTAAACATTTACGTTTATGTTGCTGTACTTAGGTACTACAGGTATAGCCATTATTATCTGTCCACACATATATACAACCAAGGAAAAGCTTTTTCCCTAGCTAAGATTCGAAAAACGTAAAGGACGAAGCCAGCCTTTATGTGTAATGAATGGCGCAGAATAACTTCCTTTCCAAAAGTGAGGATTTCATACATTCACTAACAAAGTCAAAGCAGAAATATTTTGTGAGAGACGTATGGGATAAAAAGAAGTGAGTATTAGTTTTAAGCAGCTGTCCATCTTGTAAAAATAGCACATCATCATATAGTAAAAAGTGATACAGACGCACATAGTCCCTACATTTTTATGGTTTCAAACTATCATCTAATGATGAGGGCTGATTTTCAGGGCTTTTTTGCTCTGCAACCATTAGAGATTAAACGGTCCCTCGTTAAGAATTTTCTTTGGAGTTCATAAACGTTAATATTTTGAGTTGGATGTTACTTCCTCCGTTTTAATTTAGACTTATCGAGAGTCAATTTGACTAAACTTTGAGGCTAAATTGGATTAATTAGTTCAACTCAATATTTTAAATTAAAATTTATATAATCAAAAACTATACGAGATCTATAAGTTACAATTTTTCTTTTATCAATATGATAAAAAAATTTAAAATATTGATCAAACTTCATATAATTTGACTCTCAATAAGCGAAATGTGTCATCTAAATTGTAATGGACAGAGTAATATTCTTTCATATGATATCATAACCAAAATTTGGTGAGTCCTATTGTCCGACCACTTTCTCTCCTCATGTCCTATTGCTGTGGACTCATATCTTTAGACTCAACTCATGAAGCTGCTCTTCTGCTTCTCTTTGTTCTCAAATCAAACATCAAGCTGCTATATTGCTCTAGGACTATTTTGAGCTAGTCTAATCTATCTCTCTATTTAATCATGAGCCATTCTCTCTACTGAGCGTGTAAAATTTTTCATTATAGTGGAAAAAACTTAAATCCGATAGGCAAAGGTTGTAATGTTTAATTTCTAAGAAGGAACTGGAATTTTTTACAAATTTGCTTAAACTTGATACTAGTACTAGTTACTACGCTGTGTTACATCAGTTATATATAACCTGCTTCTTTTTAATTAATGTTTTGGTAGATTGTTTTAAACTTGTCTTATAATACCTGCAAAAGACACTGTTAGCCTTGATTTGTAACATAATCGTTGACTTAATAGCTCTTAAACAGACTTATAAATTGTTATAATGATAATTACTTTACCAGAGGACAATTATTAGAGATAAAAAGGTCGGCAAAATTTCACTTGTATCCCAATTAATAAATCCGGATATTATGAGAGAGTCTATTTCTATCACCGGGTCAACCAGTTACCCACGCAACCTTTCTGTGGGACCCTTTTGTACCATTGAGTCCACGTGTACTAGCTGCTGACGTGACCCACAGCCTCATTAATTTCACGGCAAGGACTAAAAAGACAAAAAAATAGCACAAGAGCCATGCCAAGATTTTCAATAAAGCTAGCAATTATTTGGAGGTTTCTTTTTCCATATTTAATTTTAAATTTTTTCTCTTTCTTGTTTTTTTGGAGGAAAGTGGTCCTACTTAATGAAACCTTTGGTACTTTGCCACGTACAACTCTCAATGGTCAAAGCTTCTATTTAAGCTATCCCTTTTTAATACACAACCCATGCAATTATAGATACTTTATTTGTACGTGAAAAGACAACTAGAGAGAACACGTGTCACCTTTTTTAATCTCCGGCCACCATAGTCGGCGACGTTGTCGCCGGTGTGTTGACTGTTGGGATCTATGAAACCATATTGACGTCTAAGATTAAAAAAAATATCGTTAGATTTTGTATTTCCATTATTGGAAGACTATCGACCATGGGGTATGAATAAAGTCACTTTTCTACTGAGATGACATAATTTATTTGAAAATATTAAAGAAAGGGTATTAATTTATTAATTTCTTACAAAATAAAGAGTAAATGAGGAAAGTCTTTGATATGATTGTGACTTGGGTTATGAGCTGTCTATCCATGCCAATAATTAAACTATTTTAAGTTGAATCATAACATCATCTCTCTAATATTTTTTAGAGGACTCTTGTCTCATGACAATACGCATATAGTGTTATAAATTATAGAATCTTTAGTTTATATATGTTGAAGATATATTAATGGACGGATGAATTGATGGGTATGGAAAGTCATTGATACAAGAACTGCGACAAGCATCATCTATGTCTATCAATGAAAATATTTTTCTTTTAAATGCTCTTACTTTAGTTTATCTTTAGTTTATCTTGTTTCTAGTTATTGTCTATACGTCAATTAAAAACAAAAAATATAGATAATCAAATTATGTAGAGGCGGACGTAGTGCATAAAATACTTTGGCTCAAGTCTATAAATATATCAAAAATCACTAAGCAAGTACAAATAATAAATTTAAACTAGTAAATCGAATAAGTTTGATAGAAATCTAAAGTCGAACTCATAATATTCAAATCCTGAATTGGCTCGAAATTATTTAAGCTACATTATTTTATATGGAACTTCTAACTAAGTTTGAGAAGAAAATAAAGAATGATTCTTTCCTATCATGATAAAATGAGGTTAAGAAAATAGAAATTAAGCACCTAATTAAAGAGGTAATTCTTTTTTTTTTTCCACAGGAATCAACAGCATGTCCAAAAGCTCAGAGGTAAAATATTTAAAAAAAAAAAAAAAAAAAAAAAAAAAAAAAAAAACCTCTTCCGAACTGTATTATCTGGTTCCTTAAAAGAGTAAAATTACATAAATTCATTAGTGGAATCCCAAATATTTGGGATATCAAAGTTCAACACGTTGCTGCAGTAGCTATCTCTCTCATCTTCAGTTGTGCTGCTGCTGTTGTTGAAGTAAGTTGAGTTTGAATTCAATGGCGTGGGACTTGATGAAGGCGTCGATAAATTAGACAAAACAGATTGAAAGCTGAAGTTGTTGCTATCGTTGGATTGAAATGTTGAAGCATCGGACGGTGGAGGATCCCTGATGGACTGATCCACCTCATGATAGTACCCATAATTTTGTACAGCAAAATAATCATCAGTCAAATTTGAAGGAACCCCATTGCTTTGCCACTCATTTACTTGGCAATTTTGTGAGCTAAAGTTTTCAAGATTTGATGAGAATTGTTCCATATTTGTAGGTGGCTGCATGAGTTGAGCTTCACTTGAAAATGGAACACATGAAGTAGTACATAAAGTGGTGCAAGTTGGAATATCTTGAATAGGGTTTTGAACTTGGCTAGTAATTTGGACCATTTGTGGCAATTGGTTTTGGACTTGAGGATTGCATATTTGATTTTCTTGAAGATTATTTGGCATTAAAAAGTTAGAGTTTTGGCGTTGTGAGGATAAAAGAGAAGTAGCTAATCTCAAAACTTCAGGATTTACCAATGATTGGACATGACCAAACAATCTTGAAAGATTCATTTGATGAGATGAATGGTAGAGTGAAGGGTTTAAAATGGAAGAAAGATCAAGAAGATCAAGGCGTGGACTATGAGTTACTGGATCAATTCCCATTCTCAAAAGCCTTTTTCTGATGTGAGTGTTCCAATAGTTCTTGATTTCATTATCAGTTCTACCGGGCAAACGCGCAGCAATAGCAGACCACCTAAGGCCAAAAAAAAAAAAAGACACAAAGTTAGAATCAAACTCTAGGAACATGACAAAAGACTTGGATATGTAGAATATATCAATTCAAATAAGTCCAAATGTATAGAGAAAATGAGAAACTTTTATAGTAATAATTAAATTATGACAAAAAAGTACATACTACATCTTTTCAATGATTTGATTAAATAAAGAAACTTACTTGTTCCCTAAAACACTATGCAGTTGAATGATTGTCTCTTCTTCTTCAAAAGAGAACCTTCCCCTTTTAATATCTGGCCTTAGATAGTTTGTCCAACGAAGCCTGCAACTCTTTCCACACCTTTGAAGTCCTACACAATACCAAAAACAATTATTAAAACTTTAAAATAATAATTAGTTGATGCATGAAACAAGTTTAAGAATGATATATATATATAAGAGAAGAAAAATACCAGCATTCTTTGGAAGAGTTCTCCAATTTCCATAGCCATGTTTTTGAATGTAATCAATGAGCTTTTGATCTTCTTCAGGGGTCCATGGACCCTTCTTAAGTCCATTTTTGTCACAACAAGGAGCTCTTCCCATAGTGAGTATGTAGTAGTTTTCACTTGGTTTCTTTTAAAGTTGTTGTCTGCAAATTAAACAGAATAAAGAGAGAAAAGAGAGTAGTAATTAATTATATTAAGTGTTGTGGGGAAGAAGAAATTAAGACACAAATATTGCTGGAGATTAAGAATAAGGGGAGGGGGTATATATATAGGGAGGATTAGAAAGCAAGAAAACAAAGGGAGGTCAAAGGGATTCGGTGGCCGTCCTCTGTTTATCACAATGGCAACGTGTCCCCTTCTCTTTTGAGATAAAGTGTGAATTCAACCATCTCTACAGCCTCCCCCCCCCCCCCCCCC